TGGGAAGGACAGTAGGGAGTAGTGGGAAAAGGATTTGTGGGGTGCAGCTGGCAGGTTTGAGGGATGGTGTTGGATCTATTAATGTAGCTATATTACTCATCTATAATTGATCGACTACAAAATTCTGGGGCATTTTTTGTGTAAATAGGGTATCGGGCCTTGATTCAGGAACCAATTCCCCATTTATAACATTGTTTCTTATGAGAAAATCGGTTCCAAGTGACAACATTTTGACTTAAGACGCTGTTTTCAGGAACCAATTTTGTCATAAGTCCGAGGACTGCCTGTACTAGATTTTAAAACCTAACTGCTTGAAGTATTAGACTTCACAAGATGCAATAAAATTACTAATGATTACACTACACATTTTTCTTTCTCTCTCTTTTTAATTTTTTTCCCCCTTTGAGGACTATATTCTTTCCAGAATAAAAGAAATTAACAATTTATATAAGATCACTGTACTCCAGCACTGTTCAAGATTTAGGGCAATGGCATAAAACTGTGTACAGAAGTCTTCTGAAATCTTATCCCCAGGGCCTGACTAGCAGATGTGACAAGTTTGGGCAGCATCTTTAAAACAGTTTATAAATGACTGAATAATGTGTACAGTGTGAAGCAGGATTTGAGGGAGGCTTCCTCAAAAACATTTTAAAAATATTTACCATCAGAAAGGTAAAAAAAATTTCTATTAGGCAGGGACAGACAAACACACCACTATCTAGTCCCCTGAGATAGACACAGAAAAGAACACACACAGAGGAGAAGGCTTTAAGAGCCAGGGACTCTCAGTGGCATACCGAACAGACTATTTTCCTAGAGGGGTATATTCTTCTTTGTGTAGCATTATTAATGTGTATTTTTTCTCTTTGAAGGCAAGGAATGGAAGGGAATCTAAGGAAGAAGGAGGTCTTCTCTGCAATACATGTAGAACTTCCAGGAGCAATTCTCTCCATCTTTTTGAAATACCATAGCTCAGATATGTGGAAGCCCATTACATTTCTTCTTATATCTCCTCCCTGCAGAAGGAACTGAAAAGCAGCTGGGACTCCAGGTGAGCAGGAGTTTTTCTCTGCTCATCTGTGCAGTAATCTTGGCACCTGATTGTACTATCATAGATATAGGACCTCTGTCATTGCTCACACTGGGGCACATAAGTGTTAGAAGAGGAGATTAGGACTTCATAGAATCATAGAAAATGAGGGTTGGAAGGGACCTCAGGAGGTGATCTAGTTCAACCCCCTGCTCAAAGGAGGACCATCCCCAACCAGATCATCCCAGCTAGGGCTTTATTGAGTCAGGCCTTAAAAACCTCCAAGGATGGAGATTCTACCACCTCTCTAGGTAACCTGTTCCAGTGCTTCACCACCCTTCTAGTGAGAGAGTTTTTCCTAATATCCAACCCAAACGTCCCTTGCTGCAGCTTGAGAGCATTACTCCTTGTTCTGTCATCTGCCACCACTGAGAATAATCTAGTTCAATCCATTTTTGGAACCACCCTTCAGGTACTTAAAGGCTGCTATCAAATCACACCTCAGCCTTCTCTTCTCCAGACTTAATAAGCCCAGTTCCCTCAGGTTCTCCTCATAAATCTTGTGCCCTCACCCCCTAGCCACTTCCTTCCACTAGTTCTGCCATTTCCCAAGCAAATGTCTGCTCTGAACCTTGCATTGCCTTAAGAGCAGGGAGAAGAGCAACAAGTGTTCCAGTGTTCATGTTAATTTTCACTGGGAGACATCAAAGTGTTAAAGGGAGCTGGGGGTGTTGTACGTGTAGTAATAGGAAATACCTGGACACTTTCTAATTGCCCAACTTTTTTATAGCCTCATATTAATCACTCCTGATAAGAACAGTACAGTTTCATTCCTTCAGAATGAAATTAAAGTGATTTACATTCATTTCAATTATCAGCACAAC